CTTCTGGGAAGTCACAAAACTATTTTTTGTTTTTTTGAGACATAGTCTCACTATGTAGTATAGGTTACTCACTTATGTAGCCCAGGCTGGCCTTGAACTCATGGCGATCCTCCTGTCTCAACCTCTCAGGTGCCAAAACTATTTTTTTTCCTTTTTTGTCTTTTTGAGACAGGGTCTCACTATGAGTTCAGGCTGGCCTTGAGCTCACTGTGTAGCCCAGGCTGGTCTCAAACTCGCAACGATCCTCCTGCCTCAGCCTCCTGAGTGCTGGGATTACAGGCATGTGCCAACATGCCCAGCAAAAAAAACCCTCTATTTTTAAAAAATATTTTTATTTAAAATATATGTTATGGCTTACGTCTAGATGTCCGCTCAAACCCTCACGTGTTCATAGATAGGTGGGGCTTTTTGAAGGTGACTGGGTCTAGGGTGTGTGATACTGGATCAGCCCACTGACTGGATCTACATAGCTCTGGGTGTGGCTGAATGGATTTACTGAAGATGAAGGCTCCATTCTGGGTGTGGACGACACTAACCAACGGTTCTGTAGCCTGGGTGGAATATAAAAAGAGAAAGGGAATGCAGGCTTGCTGCTTCCTACCTCCTGCCTGCCCTGCCAAGGACTGTTTCTCCTCTGTGATGGCACACAGCCTTGGAGCCAACTGACCATGGACTGAACCCTCCACAAACTGTGAACTAGAATAAACCTCTCCTCCTTTAACTTGGGGGTACGGAGTATTTTTTCCCCAGCAATGAGAAAGTAACTAAGACAGTATAAAACATGCATATGTGAATACATGCATTCGGATATGCAAACATTTGTCAGGTTCTCTATATCCTCAGCACTCTTGACAGAGGGGCCTGACTTTTTGTTGCAGGGCTGTCCTGTGCGTTGGGAGAAGTTTAGTGGCATCCTTGGCCTCCACCCACAGAGGCCGGCAGCAATGCCCCAGTTGTGACAATTAAAAATGTCTACAGACTTTACTACGTGTCCCCTGGGGACGAAAACACCTGTACTGAAAACCACCGACCTTGTACAGATGTACGAAAATGAAAGAAAGGCTGACTATCTGGCTAGCAGTGTTACCCATGATTTTTTTTCATTTTGTTAAAAGAATCCTTCAAACATAAAAATGAAGAACTATGACAGCGATAGCTGTGACTCCAAAACATTAGTTATCCTTAGTGTTTTACTGCACTTACTCTGGGGCATATCTGACAATCTCCAGCTGTCGGTTCTGTGCTCCCTCTGATACATTACACAGGAAGTTATGGGCATCCCTTGCTGTCCCTTAAATACTAAAGCCTGCATGTTACCAAACTGAGCTCCACAGTTCCAAGAGAAGGAACTGCCCTGTGACACCTTGGTTTTAGCCCCTTGAGAACACAGCAGACCTCTGACCTACAGAACTGTTACATAATAAAGCTGTGTTGTTTTAAGTGCGGGAGTTTTGGTAATTCGTTATGGCAACCACAGGAAACTAATACAAAGGGCTCCGAAGGAAGGGGCAGGAGGGGCTGCCGGGGGGGCACGAAGGGCCAGCTGAGCTCCATTCAGAAAACTCGGCCACCTGGGTTCTCAGGCTGGACCCTAAGAACACATTTTCTAAATTAGAAATACAACTTTTTATTCTTCCCTAAAGGAAACAGTAACCTGATCATAAAACCAGAGTAAATAGGTATTGCAAAAAAGAAAAATAAGTCAGACTAGGGAGAATTTTTCTCCTTTTAAAGTGACAAGTATCCATAAAACTGAGTACCCAAAAAGATACGCTTTCTATGCGTGTATTAATTTTCACATTCAACAGCTTATTCAGGATCATGCTGAATGGAGGAAAACTGAACACATTTCCTCTAAAATCAGAACAAAACAAGAATGTCCATTCTCACCACCCCTACTTAATACAGTACTTGAGATTCTCCTGGAGCAATTAGGCAAGAGAAAGTAATGAAGGAAAAAGAAATAAGAAAGGAAGAAGTCAAATTATCCTTATTTGCAGACCATATGATCTTATGCTGAGAAGACCATAAAGACTCCACCAAAAGAATTTTAGAGCTGATAAACGAATTCAGCAAAGTTGCAGGATACAAAATCACCATTAAGGAATCAGTAATGTGGGGCTGGGGATTTCATGAGTTTGATTCCTGGTACCAGAAGAAAAACAAAACAAAACAAAACAAAAAAAAAAGGAAACAGTAATGACTAAACTGAGAAAGAAATCAAGAAAAACAATTCTTGTTACCATGGCCTAAAAAATAAGTTAATAAATAACCCAGGAATCAACCTAAACAAGGGGATGAAAGACTTCTACAATGAAAGTACTGAAAAAAGAAAAGTAGAAGACGGAAAGGTGTCCCACTTTCATGAGTTGGCAGAAATAATATTACTGAATGCAATGTGCAGATTCAGTGCAAATCCCCAACAAAATTCTAATGACATTCTTCACAAAACCAGAAAAAAATACTAAAATTCATAAGGAAACATAAAAGATGCAGAGCTGGGCATGGTGGTGCATGCTTGTAATCCCAGCACTGGGGAGGCTGAGGCAGGAGGATCGTTGCGAGTTCAAGACCAGCCTGGGCTATAAAGTGAGCTCAAGGCCAGCCTGA